GTGGCTAGGCCACAAGTGATATATGCGGTTGCGACCGCCAGATTTCTCCAATGTCAACCAACATCGTTGAGACTACCATGGCTGTGGGGATTTAGTGGAGTGGAGCTCTCGAATGTTATTATGTGGAAGTGGGTCAACAAGTTCTTTATTTCTGTTACCTACGTGAGAGTGATCTCTTTGGGTTTTCACGTATGTAGTTTTTTGCATGGTGAGAAATACTAGTTTTTTCATAGCTCCCCTATTTGATGAAAAGCTTTCAATGCTTTAAATATTGATTATGAATTAATAACGTTGTATTCAATACCTCGGGGATGAGATGATTTTTGACCTTGTGTAAAAGCTTTAATAATGTTTGATTTCATGGGAGCATGCATGCTTATGTTAGTCCGATTTTAAGTAAAGGACATTAAATGATTTCAATGATAAAAATCTTTCGCTCACACTAGTTTTGAAACAATGATGGTTAAATGACTTCTTGCATAAAAATCCTTGGTTTTATATGTAAGGCATAAATGTCCCATTTGCTTTTAAATGGATTATATGATCTCATGTTTTTATATATTCAAATCTTCTGCCTTGGCTTGTTTCCCATCTACGCCCTACTCACGGAGTTGATGATCACTGAGTCTGTGAGACTCACCCCCCTGATCTTCCTTTTACAAATAGGTAATCAGCTCAAGTGCATTGCTCAACACCTCCAGACTTGCTGCAACATAGGTAATGGCATCTCTTAGACTTCCACTCCAAGTCACTTTGCTGCATAGAGGTCGTGTTCTGTAAAATAGTTAGACTTATAATGATTATCAGCCTATCGAAAATGCATTTTGTTAAAAACTCTAAGGTTGTGTATTGGATGTTAAGTGAAGTTAGGACACACGAGGATATTGTAACTAGATGCTATACTTTACTTGTAATTGTTTATTTGGTTTAAGTAAACAAAAGCATTGTTATTACTAGTCAATTTATATACGCATTAGAATGTTTGATTAAATTATCTGAAATCTCAATTAAAGCTTGTTAAGGATTTGACGGGTTCACTCGCAAGTCTCAAATGTCGGTAAAGATCGGGGAAGAGGTCATTACAAACACCCTGCAGCAGCTAACATAAAATAATAAGACCAAAAATGATAAGCATTACGATGTCATTTTTTTTAAATATTGTCAACTTACCTTATGTAATCCTAAGACTTGCAAGAGCAAACATAAAATAATAAGACCAAGAATGATAAGCTAAAATTATAAATAACATGAAACTAAAAATAAATACAAAAATAAACTAAGTTGAGAACTTGGGTTGCCTCCCAAGAAACGATTCCTTTATAGTATTAGTTGGACTTCTGCAAGGCTCATTTAGGGTTGGATAAGTGGCTGAAGGATCATTGACAATTAACATTTTCTCCCTAATAATGCTTCAATCATTGCCCATTCACCTTAAATGTCTTATTTGTCGACCCATCAATTATTTCCCATTGCTCCATGTGGACACACGTTTGATACAATAAAGGGTCCTGACGATCTTGATTTCAACTTACCCAGAAATATCTTTAATCATGAATTGAACAACAACACAAGCTGACTTGACTCAAAATGTCACTCAATAATCTTTTGATTATGCCATCTCTTTGTCTTTTCCTTGTATAATTTGGCATTTTCATAAACATCTAAGCAAATTTCATTCATCTCATTTAATTGAAGCAACCGTTTCTCACTCACTGCCTCTAAATCAAAATTTAATTTCTTGATAACTCAAAATGCACTGTGCTTTAATTCAACTAGGAGGTGACATGTTTTTCCCAATACCAATAGATATGGGGAAATTCTTATTGGAGTTTTGTAAGTAGTCCTATACGCTTATAATGCGTTTTCTAGTCTACTGCCCAATCCTTCCTCGATGGTGATACCATTTTCTTTAAAATTCTCTTGATTTTTCAATTTGACACTTCAACTTATTTACTCGTTTGAGGGTGATACGATGTGGCTACCTTGTGTGTTACTTCATACTTTGTAAGTAATGCTGTAAAATATTTATTGCAAAAGTGACTCCTTTCATCACTCAAGATAGCACTTGGTTAATAAAAATTTGGTGAAGATACTCTTCTTAAGAAATTTTATCATCACCTTAACATTATTTGTAGACAAAGTTAAGGCTTCTACCTTCTTTGACACACAGTCGGCAGCTGCTAGGATGTAGCGATTGTTGAATGAGGATATGAATGGTCCCATGAAATGAATTCCCCAAGCATCAAAAATTTCCACTTCTAGAATGTTGTTGAGCAATGTCTCATGTCTTCTAAAAATGTTCCCCACTCTTTGACATTTGTCACAATACAAAAAAAGTTATGAGCATCCTTGAAAAATGTTGGCCAATATAACCCTAATTGAAAAACTTTGGTTACTATTCTATCTTCTCCAAAATCGCCCCTTATATTCTGACGAATGATAATGCCTCAGCAAGTTGTTAACTTCCTCCTCTAGAATACACCTTATAATTCTGTCAATTATAAAGTGAACCTAAAACCTCCAAGATCTAACTCTCTCAAAATGTGTCCAAATAACTCTATATAATAGAGTTATCACTTAGTCGATGTATCATTGAGACTGAACATCAATGATGCTTAAAAACTGGTACATTTTATGTTCTTGACTTCGAAAGTAAACAACCAATCTCATTTTTTGAAGCATAGAGATACTTGGAGATAGAATATATGTGTTTGTTTTAGGAACAAGTTTACTAAACATGACTTGACATAAGAACTCCATTTGGTCCCTCGCTCTAGTGTCGTTAAAGTATATCCTCATGTGACAGTTGTGCAAAAGATTCTCAAACTTGGGACACCTGGTTGTCTTATGTGTGGAATGATATACTTTCACTTCATCTCTTTAGGTCCTAACTAAAGATGCTTAAAAAGGATGAACGTTAGGCATCGCATGAAGCACATGAAAATAAATGAGTGGTCAGGATAGAATTCATCACTCCGAGTGATTAAGGAGATGTATCTTGATTGTTTATGCCCTGAGTTAGTTTATGTGAAGACTTTGACCAAAGCACAATTGATTTTAGGAAATGAGTTTCTTATAATCCATAATAGCTAATCAATGTCATGACTAATATGGAAAGTCTTACGAGTTGACATTGCACCATGTTTCTAAGCTTTCTAAGATACATGGTGAAAGGATTGAATTGCACTGAAAGACTGATCATTGAAAGATTGAGTCAAACCATTTTAACTCTTTCATCATTTGGGTGGCCTTGATGGATTGCTAGATCCCACTCTTGGTCTATGATAACTCTATTATATAGAGTTATTTAGCCATATTTTGGATGTTAAAATACCCAAGTCCTTGTGTTTTAAGTCAACTTTTTTTATAATTTTTTTATGTTTTTAGTTAATTAGTTTAAAGCATGTTAACTAATTTTAATTCAAATAATTCTAGTTCATTTTCATGTTGAAAGTCTTAATTTAATCCAATATTGATCTAGTCCTTGTCACTGTAGGTTTTCAAATGCACCAAGTTAAATTGTGGTGAACTATGCAAGGGAGACTAAGTGTAGACTTCTATTGAACATGTTGCAGTAATTTAGGCATAACTTGAGCTACAAAGATTTAATTAATGTGATTCTTTGACCATTGAAAATATGAGAGGTAGACCTACAACTTTCATGTTTACTCTTTCACCTAGATCAGCCTTGAGGTATGAGAAAATTACATTGCAAAATGAGGTATTGTAGTGGTTTTTACACTAAGGCAGCACAAGGAAGGAACATCACAACCTCGAATGGATCAAGGCTATAGCGCCTAAAAGAGCAGCATTGCTTCTATTCAAATTCCTAAGCCTTCAATGTCGTGGCAGCCATGGAAAAAGGCCATGACACTAGTTGGAAGTAAGTAAGAAAAGGAAAAAGTGCAGAACGCTGCAACCCCTCAAAAAGGGAGGCTACAATGCTTTGGCATGTTTTACTAAAACATTGCAATTCAAGATCTTATTTTTTTGGTGGCTATAAATTTGATTTTAAGCAATTGAAAAATGAGTTTGAGAGAGGAAAGAAACAATAGTTAGACACAAAACAAAAGGTTTTACAAAAAGAGGAAACATGAAGAAACCAGGGGAGATTGAAGCTTGAGTTAAGTTTGATTGTTTTGATGCATCCCCTTTGACAAGACTGACTCAAAAAGGAGTTAAGTTTGACTAGTCTAATGCATGTGAGGCTAGTTTTTAGATTCTTAAAGCCTATCTCACTTCTACGCTAATATTGAGTCTACCATATGGATCCGGAGCATATACTGTGCACTGCAATGCATCACGAATTGGGTTGATATATGTGTTGATGCAACATAGGAAA